CTTAATATACCTTAATATACCTTAATATACCTTAATATACCTTAATATACCTTAATATACCTTAATATACCTTATTATACCTTAATATACCTTAATATACCTTAATATACCTTAATATACCTTAATATACCTTAATATACCTTAATATACCTTAATATACCTTAATATACTTTAATATACCTTAATATAACTTAATATACCTTAATATACCTTAATATACCTTAATATACCTTAATATACCTTAATATACCTTAATATACCTTAATATACCTTAATATACCTTAATATACCTTTAATATACCTTTAATATACCGTAATATACCTTAATGTACCTTAATATATCTCATATACCTTAATATAGATTAAGTTAATTTATTACTTATATAGTACTATGAACCTTTTAACTAGTTTTACTTGCAGGAATGCTTCCATAGCTTGAATGACGAAATTAAGGTCCTCTTTCATTTTTAAAAACGTATATACAGGTGTAAACAAGTTTGTCAGTGCTAATAATGATTTTAATTATTTGATTTCCAATAAAATACTCGTTCATGCATACTTTTAAAATTTACGTGTTTGTGTCAAGATTCGAAAGAATTTTAACAGTATAGAATCAATAATAGTTTAATTTCTTGTGTAAATTATTATTGAAAAATGTTTAATAATCGGGTAAATATTTATCAAACGTTGTTAAGGTTAAACAATAACAAATAGGGAAACACAAATATTTCTTGCTTGTAATATTGTCCACTTATACTCAAACTGTATATTATACACAGTTTTTATGTTTCTTAGAGGTCGTAGATTTATTTTGGTATATTAGCATTATGTGTTTTAATATTTATATCCTGCATCAGTAGCTTGGCAATGATGTTAATTTCTTTTATACTTTTTTTTTAGAGTAGGTACTTTGTTCTAGACTCATAATGATTCTGTAAATTATACTTCTTTATTTTCATAGCCATCATCTTTTACAGCAAAAGAAAAAGCAACAAAAATGGCAAATTTCATTATAATTGTTTACTTGCTTCATTTTATTAATATACCAAACAAAAATGCTTTAAGCAAGGTGGAAAATATGAAAACTTTTTTTATGAAACAATTTATTTAATTAGAAAATTTATTATTTTACAACCATTATATCTGTTTAAAGAGTCACGCCTTATTACTTCCTTACATGACGATAAAAAAATTATAGACATCTTGCAGGCTATTAAAAAAGTAAATTACATATTGGCAAATTAAAAAAAGAAAGATAAATTAGTGTAATAAATTAAGTAAAATATTTAGCAATCTAATCAAAAAAAAAAAAAAAAATATGTTAATATCATAGTTTTAATTGTGATGGCGTAATCTTAATGTTATAAATAGTAAAGATACATTTATCGAGACTAACAAAAATCCAGAAAAAAATCAAAACATTGTTAAGTTGTTATTTAATTGATAATGTTCCTGATATAGATGACACATAAAATAAAATAAAATAAAATAGATATACAATATGTGTCCCTAGGTTGGAATCATATGGAAAACTTTTTTATTATTAATTTTAGGAAAAAAAGTTATTCTTCATAAAAAGTTCTGCATTATCTATAACCTAGAATATAGTCATCAAATATCAAATTTTTTCAGTGGTATACGAGGTTTGTCAAAAAATATGAGTTTCACTCAAGAGTAAAGTAACTTTATTCTTTATACGACTGATAAAATTTGATATCTGATGGTTGTATATTATAAAGAATAACTTTTTTCCCAATAATAAACTATATTCTAGGTTTAAGATAATGCAGAACTTTTTATGAAGAATAACGTATTTTGTCTAATGTTGATTATCGTTCTTATTGCCCAAGCAATGATGCCTTTTGGGTTACTTGTGTAAAATTAAAATAAAGCTACTAATTGGTATGTTGGTCCAATTCGATGTCCTGATGATCTTCCTTCAATTGCTTTCGGGCTTGTATTTTCTTGGGGGTGTTTTTTTGAAAACTATGCACAAACTTGTTCAGTTTTGAATATTTGTGACAAAAAACCCCGCGAGAGTACTAACCTAGTATTTATAGCCCTGGATAGAGGCTTGTTTTGTCATTGCAGGTCACGCTCCCATGTTTTTCACTGCTTTAATTTCGTGAGCTCTATAGACCGAAAGGAGTGTCCTATTGAGTTTTTTAAAAAATCAAATTTTACCTGAATAAATACACTTTACAATAACTTTTCGTTCCGAGTCGATGGCTTGACAATTAAGGAAATGGCGAGCGCTCAAAATTGGCTGATGTTTGCAAATCAAATTTACCCCAATTTTGTTATTCTTCTTAAAAAAACGATTAGAAAAATGCTTTCCGGCAATCAATCATAAATTTAGTATAGGGTGTATTTTTAATGCGAATGCAAGAAAATCAGAAAATTAAAAGTTGTGGAGTGCTGAAATTTTGCAAGTATACTTAAATAAATGCTCTAATGAACATATTCGAATTTTAATCTCGTCATTCTCTTAATTGTCAAATAAAAAACTGTTGCAAAATGTATTTATTCAGCTCTAATGTGATTTTTGACAAATTTTAATACGGTCCGAAATGGTAAATACTCTTGCCGACTTTTTGTTCAAAATATCTTCTAGATGAAGACTGGACATTTTTTATTTCAGATTAGCTGTTTAGGCAGCGGTTAAAAAAATGCAAGCAATGATAGCCCTGCAGCAATTGAAAGAGGATCATCAGGACATCGAATTGGAACAACATACCAATATCTAGCTTTATTCAAATTTTTCACAGGTAAATCTACTCTATTTTCTGGCCTATTACAACAAAAAAAGGAGTTATTGTCTTAAACATTAGCAATTTTCCAGGCATCTGACAAATTCTAATAATAACCATCGCAATTACATTGTTACATGACGTTGATTTGAATTAATAGCTGAGCGACCAGTCATTATTATTGAGGTGTTCCACTATCGTGTTTTTGATCAAAGCAAAACGTATCAGGTGTAAAATAGCATTGCCATTGGGGATTGTATTTATTGAAAACTTATTGTTTTTCAAGGCTTATTCACTGACTGAAAACCACTGTAGTTATCTCGTTACAATTGTGGCATTACCTAACTTATAACTACGAGGTTGGATTCAAAAGTTGGTGGGCATTGGGCTCCCTTTATAAAGCGACATTTCCAATTCCAAATCCAGAAATTATAATGTAAATTCTGTATTTAATGAAGATAGTTATGCTAAGCGTTCTTATCGAAATTTTTATGAGCTGTCCTTCTTCTAAATCTTTAAATTCTTTCTAGCTCAGAAGGAGAAGTTATCTCTCACTTGATAGTACTTTATAATGGCTTAAAATAGTTCTTTCGAACTCGATGTTTAAAATTCCTTAGGATAGGTTCTTTTCTTTTTTAGAGTTGCTCCTTTGGAACTGGTTCCTGTGAATGTTTAGAAGAATAGGGATCTTTTTTTATGTCTACAAGTTGCCCCTAAAATCACCTAAAAAGTCCTTAGATGCTTTTGATTCTGAAGTATATTTTTTAAAATAAGATGGTTCCTCACTTGAAAAGTCCTTCATTCTTTTGTAATTTGTTTCTATCAATTTTGAAAATAAATTGGAGTAATTTTTTCAAGAGGAATCCTTTAGATTTATTTCCTTATGAAAAGGACCATTTCTATATTCTTAGGATTGATAGACAATGAATGGTCCTTGCACCACTGTTCTCTAATTTTAAGAGCTACTTGCATTCTTTCGTAGAGTATGTTTTCAAAATTCCCTGTTTGCAGAATGACCAGGTCATCTGCATATGCTTTTGTGTAGTGACTGTCATTATTGAGGCGGCTGATGAGGGTGTCGAGGACCACATTCCACAGTAGAGGTGATAGCACCCCTCCCTGTGGACATCCCCTCGCAACCAAGCCTTTTATATTCACATCTTCTACACTTATGTTTACTGCTCGCTTTAAGAGCATGTTATGTATCCACCCACTAACCATTTGTGGAACATTCCTGTTGGTTAGTGAGTGTATTATCTTTGGGAAGGTGGTTTTATCAAAAACACCTTCTAAATTGTATGTTTCAAATCATTATAATTATTTTAGGGGATGGTTAAACGTCGAAACATAATTCTAAACAGTTTTTGATTTTCATTGTACTTTCCTGTCGATTGATCATTTTTTCCAAGTTGAAATTCGATTTGGAAATTTTATTTTTCGAATTTTAAATCGCTTTGGACTCATTAAAATTATTTTAGGGGGTGATCAAACGTCGAAACATAATTCCATTATGGATCGGTGGCGTAGGTGTCTAAGGAGCTCGCATTCATTTGCGAGCAATTTTGTGGCCGAGAGAAACCCGGCTTTGAATCTTAAAGAAGGGCATGTGAATTTATTTGCATGGTTTTCTATAATAATAGCCATCCCTTCCCTACACAAGTCGCTTAGTCGGCTTCAGGAGTTGAAATTCACTCGTAAGGGGGGAGTTATTATTATTATTATTATTATAGTATTATACTTAATCAAATTTTGTCCTTTGTTAAATTTATAGTTACATGTAGGTACTGTGTAACTATTTCAGGGGGTGATCAAACGTGGGTACTTAATTTTAAACTTTAGATCTTAATTGTGGCTTCCTGACAATTGATCATTTTTTCGTTTTCATCCCAGATCTCTTGTATTTTTCACACGTAATTAATTATTTTAAGGGGAAATTAAAAATAATAATGGGTGGTCAAACATGCAGTATTGTAAAATATATCCTTCCGGGGGTCAGCAGACTCTCCCTAATTTTTTTAATATTTATGTTTTTAAGGATGGTTAAAAAAAGTTACTGGGTGGTCAAACATGGTCAATATCATCGCATCCCCCTTTTAAAATTAAAATTTTCTAATTTTGAGATGTCAACTTCACATAGCTTCGTTGTATTACTTTACATAATGAGGAAAACTTAAACTAAATTGACATTTAATTAATTACAACTTTATTGGGACATTTTAAAAGTGGCTCTATTATTTCTCTTCGTTTCAGGTTTAATGGAGAATAAGTAGAACCACACACAACATGAATAAATACCTCAGGTTATTTTTTTACCGGGTTTTGAAGGATTTGAAGCAAAAGGAATTGCTTCCACTGAAACTTTTATTTTTCATGCATTCATCGAGTAAGTATATAATATGTATATATTTCATACGGTATAAATAGTCTCGAGATACGTTCGTGGAATATATAAAAAAATTGCTGGTATTTGATATTTTTTTGCAATAAATTTTATGTCACAATAACGATTTTAAAAAGTACGAGGAATTGTTTTTATTGTACTATCAAACTATACAGCAGTTGTGTAACACTTTATAGTTTTTACAATTTTAATATTTCATATTATAGTGAATAATTTTTACAGCTATATTGGTATTATATCCGTACTTGACGATACATATGAGAGAATTAGGCATTAATGTAGAAGAAACAGCTATAATGTCTGCAGTAACGCCAGCAGTAGCCATATTGATGCCACCTGTAGCTGGGATGATAGCTGACAAAATAGGAAATTTCAGGGTAAGATTGAAGAAATATTTTGCCTAATAGATGATTACTTCCTTCAATCGAAAAGCAAATAAATATATAATTTGGATCAAAGCAAAAAGAATAGCACAATATACAGGGTCGCAAGTATTTAAGTAATGAATGGAATTTTTATGATGATATCTGACGGTGTTTTATGAGGAAGAACAGTTTTTATTATATTTTTGAATGCAAGATTATTTTCTCGATACGAGTTGACAGTTATGATGTAATTTCAATTTAAATTATTAATCGTAGCAAAAATTTATATTTTTTTTGTTTGAAAATTAACTTCACAATTTAATCGTAGTTATATAACATACTAAATTTAACCAAAGTATTCGGCATTTATATAAAGGTATTTACTTCAAATTCTTTATAATTTTTATCAACATTTTTTTATGCTACGAATAACAGTTATTTTTTTATTTTTCGAAGAATTTCGCTGTAATTTACAATGGAATTAGAAGGTCATGAGAAATTTTAATATGTACAATTACGCAATTGGATGCTTCTCAAATAATTTATTACTATAAAAGTTGGTGTAATGAAGGTGTAAAAATAATTTGGCACATCAATATTACACCATTTATTTCGTGGTCATACCGTGACCATGATGTGAACAAAAATAAATAGAAATTTTTTTTAATAAACAAAAGTCATCGAAATAGCCTTATTATTATTAATATTATTATTATCATTATTATTGAACAAGTGATCTTGGGTAATCCTGCATCTTCTGAAATCAGTTTCTAAATCCTTCTAGTTATTATTTATTTTCTTTTATCTTTGGAATGGATCCTAGGCTGTAGGAGAGAGTGGGGTATATCCCATTCAGCTATAAAAGAACCAAGAAACTTTAATTCAATGCTTGTGCCGCATATTTAAAGCATGTAGGTATTGCCTGGCTTTGGAGCCCTATTCAGTAATTTTCCACCATTATTGCATTCACTATCCTCTCCATTTTGATTACAACACCACTACACCTAAACCAACATATATACACCCCAGGCAGATCTACTGATTGATGAGAAAGATCCCTGGATAATAAGAAGTCCGACTTGGATGTTTTCATAGACAGAGGTGCTTTTGATAAAATCACCTTCCCAAAGATAATACACTCACTAACCAATAGGAATGTTTCACAAATGATTAGTGGGTGAATACATAACATGCTTTCAAAGCGAGCAGTTAACGTAAGTGTAGAAAATGTAAATATAAGAGGTTTTGTTGCGAGGGAATGTCCAGAGGGAGGGGTGCTATCACCTCTACTGTGGCATATGGTCCTCGATACCCTCATCAGCCGCCTCAATAATGACACTCACTACACAATAGCATATACAGATGACCTGGTCATTCTGCAAACAGGGAATTTTGAGAACATACTCTGCGAAAGAATTATCGAACTGTAGTGCAAGGACCATTCACTGACTATCAATCCTAAGAAGACAGAAATGGTCCTTTTCACAAGGAAAAGGATGAAAGTAGAATTAAAACCTCCAGAACTCCTAAACACAAAACTAAACTTTGCAACAGAGGTGAAGTACCTAGGTCTCACCTTTGACAGCAAGTTAACATGGAACTCGCATTTAGAAAACAGAGTTAAAAGAGCATACATTGCTTATGAACAATGCCGCCGAATCGTGGGGCACACCTGGGGTTTCTCCCCCAGAGTCGTCGCATGGACTTACACGGACATGGACATATACTAACATACAGTGCAGTTGTCTGGGTACCGAAAACCCAAAAATTAACAGCTCTTTGTTAACTAGAACAAATTCAAAGAACAGCATGTCTCAACATAACAGGAGCTATGAACACAATACCGACCAGAGCCATGGAAGTCATTCTTAGTCTCACTCCCCTTGATATTTACAGCAAGGAGGTTGCTCTGATGACAATGACACGCCTCCTCACGATTGGAATAGAACCTGATGTAGGATTTGGTGAGGCGAGACGTCGCTTTTGGCAGGAGACGCTCGATACGCTTGAAGCAGAACATAGACTCCATCTCACCGAGATATATCTTCCATAAGCCATATAAAGTTATAAGAGAACAAATAGAAGAGCCGAAAGTGGCAGGTACGATTCATATCTACACCAACGGTTCTTAAACAAAACAAGGCTCAGGATGTGGAATATACTCCAGATTCTTAAACCTAAACATAAAATGGGCTGTGAGCAATAGTGCCAGTGTAGTTCAAACAGAGCTAACGGGGATTCTCATAGTAGCAAAATGAATAATGGAACATGCTCATCTATACAGATAGCAGACAAGCACTACTCACCCTGAACACACCACGAATTTACTCAGGGTTAGTACTAGAATGTCACGAAGCTTTGGCCGAAGTATCCATCAACAAAGTGGTCATCTTAAGATGGATTAAAGGTCACGCCACATCGAAAGGTAACCGTCTTAGTGAATCTAGTGAATCATAGCCAAGAAAGGAGCCAACCAAATTTTTTTTGGACCTGGCCCTTCTATTGACCTGACATAATCGGTAGTGACAGACCTAATCAAAGAACATTCCCTTGTGAAATTCAAGGAAAAATGGGATGAAACAAGAAACTGCAGAGTTGTCAGGGAGCTCTTAAGTTATCCTGGCAACAATGCAGCAAACAAATACTTGACTATGACTAGACAGAATCTGCGCCTAGTCACAGGCATTCTGACTTGTCATTGCCAGGTACGAAAGCATCTCCATATCATGGGGCTTTCAGAATCTGCACTCTGCAGAGGTTGCGAACAAGAAGACGAGACCTTCGAGCATATCCTTTACGATTGCTCGACGCTCTCGTTTATTAGAAGATTTGTGTTCGGCGAGTATCGGCTAACATCGGCCGATATAAGAGAAGCACCTCTTGGCGATGTTGTCAACTACATTAAACCTAACCTTCACACGTTACAGATACAGAGATACAGATTCTCTCCATTTTGTTCTTCTGTCCAATATGTTGCTTTCTTCTCAACAAAAATATGTCTTCAACTTATCTGCATTAATTTTCTATGATTTAAGTAAGCATTGATGTGAAGTACGTGCAGCCCCGCTTGAACATCGCATATAACGACGACTCGCACATGTAAAATTTATTGAATAAAGGAACAAATGGACATGGGCGCCACCACACGAGGGCAAGGAGATCGTCTGTCCCACCTTGGATTTGTGATTTTTCATTTTTTCACAATGGCTTTCGATTATAGCCTCCGGCGTTTTGACCCTACCCGGAAATTTTTTGAACGGCGCCCATGGAAATGTATTAGTATTAAATTTGTAAACCAAACAGATTTGACTCAAAACAAAAACACGTAGCAATCGATCATAATAATAATGAGTTCATAAAAATAACATTTTTTATTGTAATTTTTACTATGCGATATGAACGAACAATGCAAATTCAGAGAAATTGTAGGACGATATTATTTTTATGGAAATGTTTAAATGCTCAATAACTACATATCAGTTTAAAAATAAATGGGTTTTAAAACCAATGATGAATGGTCTGGTATATTTTAGTTTGTTTACTACGAATTACATGACTGAAATAATTTCTCTTGCTTACTTTTCTTTTCGATTCTGTTCATACATACTTTCCTCACCCTTCCTCTTCTTTTACACTTTTTTGGTTAATTATTTTTCTTAAATACTAGATGCTGTGGGTGCCTTTGTATCTTACAACCTTAGGGTGTACCTGCAAGAAATGTATTGTTGTGAGAACTTGCATGTCCCGATGTAAATTATTTTTGTTTTTCACAAAATTAAGCCATTTTAACAGTAACTTGTTAAAAAGTACGAAAACGTAGAAGGGCAACACAACATATTTCGATTTCAAATTCGGGTTTTCCAATTTGAAGTCGATATTTCGATTTAAAGTCAGAATTTCCACTCCAAAGTTGGAATATGTGGCCATTCTACGCCTTCGTAAAAATGTACCGAGCTGAAAATAAAATAAAATTTCTGATATCCCATGCACGTGTTTGAAATAATCCTAATTCTATTTTGTAACTGTAATGTAATATAATGCAAATAGGAAGAATCACATCACGCTCCAACAGCTTCATTAATATGGTTTTATGACATTATATAATAGTTAATATTCATTTAAAAGTTAATGTCGTTAGTGGAACAACTAACTGAACTTCAATTTTTTTCTTTTATTTATTTATGTTGTTGAGAATTTAAAATTTATTATCAGAATACATCAATCAATATTTATGTAAATAGTTGTTATGTTATGTATGGAGTATTAGTACACTGAGACCTAAAAGATCTATTATGTCCCCTTCTGTTGCTAATGTAGCAAAGGAATAGTCTCGATGATAATGACTATAATGACCCTTCCAATCCTATCTTTTTAAAAAAATGTAGAGTTTGGAGTGTCTCCAAGTTAGGTAGATCTCCCTCTTTTGTTTGTATGCTGTGCCCTTGGATTCTGGAATGCTACACATTCTACTAATCTCAGCTCAATAAGGTGTCCTTTAAGTCGGAAATGCCCGGTAAGGATCCCTGTTACAATGTTTACAGTCACCCAGAAGTATCTTAGCCTGCCTTAGCCTCAAGAGATTGTATCGGTTCTTCTTTTTCCCAATTCTTTTTTATTCTCTCTTAATATTGCGTTACTGCTGAGACCGCAAAACGGCTCAGGTCGTCCCACAGAGGATATTTGAGCCTCTTTCCTTGCGAGATCATCTGCAATCTCGTTACCCTTCAGAACATTTTTGAGTTGATTACGTAAGAGCTCAACCCTTTAATGGCACTTGGCTATTGGACAAACTCTTGTCTGCGATAGTTTCTATCTATGTTGAACTGGATACACTTCTCAATGCCGTAAATTTCCGCCTGGAAGATGCTTAGGTATTTATTTATACTTTTAGAGTTCTATACCAATACACTCCTATTTCAGTTCCTGCTGTGGTTTTGGAACCATTAGTATACTACTGAAATGCATACATTTCAGTTACAAACACGATTGATTCTTGGCTCCATTCTTTATTGCAGTTCTGCAGTTTTGAAGTTTATCACAAAACAGTACATCGTCCTTATTTCGTCCTTAAGCATATACTAAGTATCTTCGGTCCGTAGAGATACGTTTTCTACCATTAAATATAGAGAGGTGAGGTTAAAGATCACCTCCATTGCGGCAGTAGGATACGTTTTGATTGCACCGATGATACAAACACAGGCTAGTCTTTATACTTTTGAGATATTAGCTCTCAAAGTAGCTTTTTATTATCAAGATACATTAGTCGGTATTTATAGAAACATATATATTTTAAATAATTTACTAGTCATAATTTTTTTTAGGTGTTACTAGCAGGATTCTCAGTAATAGGCGGTGGAGCCGCATTACTACTTCTACTAGTTCCTGTCGGAAGAGTAACGTTAACATATCCCAATAAACTGATATTTGGGCTTTTATGTGAAACCAATACAACACCAACATTATCCTTGTACCAAGAACATCCTTGTACACCTCTCAAATCAGGTGGAATTATCGAAACCGAGATTAAGCTTGAATCCTGCGGATTTTCTTGCCAAGCGGTACTAAGCAAAAATTATAGCAAATTAATTTTAGACACTCGAAGTTACGATGTGCAAATTTACGACATTTCTAAAAATTCTACGCTGCTGTACACTTATAAGCTCAGTCAGGACGATATCTTCGAACCAGAACAAATTACTAAAAGAAGGAATAAAATATCTTTAAAGAATAATGAAAGATATCGTACATCGATTAGAAAATTATCTAAGAATTCGTTCTATTTTCCAACAATATCGATGTATAACTTTTCCTGCAATCTAGCCGAAAATGCTGCAATGAGTTGTGTATTGGGCAGCAGGGATCAGTTTGATGGGTTTGAAAGGATACCAAATCCTTGGAAAACGGGCATTATATTGAATCCACCTGATCACATTGATACAGAAGAGGAAAAACAAATTTACAAAATTGATTATGTTAATTCCAAGCAGCAATCTAATATTACCTGTCTTGAAAACACAGCTATGATAGCCAAGCATATATCTGTAACAATTCCTATTAACTCGAATGAATCCACTGTTAAGCACTTGGATCTAGGGAGCTGCTCGCACAGATGTATTGCAACCGCACCTAGAAAGAACGTTTGCTCAAATGAGAAGACTTCTAGAGAACTGGACATGAGTCTCACATTTTGGTCCTACCTCTCCATTAGAGTGTTTGTTGGTATTATCAGTGGTACTGCTTTTGCTATGTTCGAAGGAGCAGTTATAGCTCTTTTGAGGGAGCACAAAGCTGACTATGGACTGCAAAGGATCTATGCTACTATTGGAGGCATGATTAGTTCACCGATATCCGGATGGATGATTGACTATGCTAGTAGAGGCAAAGGTTACACAGATTTCAGGTGAGTCGATTAGCTCGAAATTTATTTTCGAGATATTTTATTAATCTATTAATTTTACAGACCTGTATTCTTCCTATATGCTGCATTGAAAATAATAAGTGGAGTTTTAATGTTGTTCATTAATCTGGAATTTAAGAAGGCAGCTTCCAGCGTAATCACTGATGTTTTAGAGGTACTTAAAAAGCTGGAACTTATTGCGTTGTTCGCATCTTGTGTAATTTTAGGTAAGTTTGTCAATATTAATTCTGGCGAAGTAGAAATACGCTTTTGTAAGGCTACAGTTACTGTATTCGATAATATTTTCAGGTTGTGCATGGGGTTTTATCGAAAGTTTCCTATTTTGGCTCCTGGACGATCTCGGTGCATCAAAATCATTGATGGGTTTAACAGTTACAATAGGAGGAATTGTAGGAATACCTCTACTTATTCTATCTGGACCAATTATCAAAAAAATAGGTCACGCCAATGTCATATTCATCGGTTTCATCTTCTATGCAATCAGATTAATTGGGTATTCTATGATATATCATCCATGGCTGTGCCTAATATTCGAAGCAATGGAGTCTGTTACGTTTGGACTAAGTTTTACAGCTGCTGTGACATATGCTGCTAAGTTATCAACGGTTACGACTGACACCAGTATACAGGGGATGCTTGGAGGACTGTATTATGGAGTTGGTAAGTTTTTTTATGGTACCATTCATTTTCTCTCTTTCTATAAACCAAAGTCAAGCAATAAACTATGTAAAATTTAATTTAAATTTATTTTTTTTTAGGTAAAGGAATTGGTAGTCTCATAGGTGGTTATTTAATAGAGATGATAGGAATCCGTCACACATTTCAGTGCTTTTCAGTAGCAACTTTGATTATAGGAATTATTTATTTCATCTTCTACCACGTGTACATGAAGAAACATCCTTCCCAAGGTACAGATATTACAAAGAAAGATAAAGAGAAGCCCCCAGAAGGTTTTACTGATATAAACTTGAAATCTAAATCTGAGCTGGCTGACATCCAAGCGGATTTGCCAGTTGTGTACGAAGACGCCATGTGCAATCCTGCATACGAAACTACTGAGATTGAAGACGAACCTGAAGATGACAAAACGGATTATATAAAAGCTAATGGAAAAGTTTGACATATTTAATGAACAGATCTTTGTCAGTATTTCTAGGTTATTTTATAGGTCAGGAGGGTAAAGAAGTATATGACATGAACTTTTATAAAGAGTATATTAATTTAAGCAAAACGTTTTTATGGGCAGTAATTTTTGTATAACCTAATTTAACATTGCCTCAAAGTAGTAAACCTTTATTTTTGACACCCTATATCTTAATTAGCGTATTTATTATTATTTTTTTTAATAGGATCTGATACCGTGTCATTTTTCAACCACTACTCTCCTGACTTATTGTACGTTTTGTAAATTTTGTAAATCTGATTTATTGAAGTTCCTTAAGGTAACATTTAGTTAAGCATTTCAAGTTGATAACCTGTATGATAATTACAGATTGTATCTGGTTTAAAATACGACGAGATATTGATATCAATTGATCTATACTTACAAAAAAAATATTTTAAAAACTTCACTTCGAGAATACTCTGATCTCTTTAAAAGCTTTTTATTCGGTATACACGTGTAACTAAAAGGTAGGCCATAAATGAATATGTTAAACCAATGGTGGCACAAGAATAATTTATTTCTGATACATACAAACGTTTGGGGGGTCTAGGGGGTGGGGTTTTTGATCCCTATCAAAATTTTATCGGAGCTGTTTTCAAAATTTATTCTTGCAAAGTTGCACTGAATTTAAGAAGACCACGTGATTAATTTTATGAAAAATTGTTGAATTAGTGGAACAAATTGATTTTTAATTTTTTAACTTCAAAATATTTCTGTGTATTTTTGTATTTTTATCGTTTTAAAGTGAGATTTATTTTGAGTTTAAAATAACATCAGGTTTCAAAGGGCTCAAAGAAACTTGAATGCAATTACAAAGGTAAAAGATCAAATTAATACTGTTCAGTGCCATAGTGTAACTCATGAAAAATAAAAAAAAACAAAACAAATTCCAACCAAAATTTTCTGCAGAGTTAGCTTATGAAATAAAAATGGACAGTGTGAATTAAAAGATGCAATAGAAGCATAAAAGTTTATTAAAGTTTAAGAGAATGAAACCAAAATTTTTTTCCAATGATTACGAAATATTAACAGAAATGTCGCTTTTATTGAATAAAAAAGAGACATATCCTGGGCTTTCTGCAAAAAGTGACCAAGTCAAATTTTATGTGATTTGAGTTAATATGACCAAATCACTTAGTTGTCAAAGTCATATAAAAAAAAATTACCAAGTCATATTGATCGAGTTTATTTAGTACTTTGAGGTAGTATAAATTGACTTGGTAAGTTTTTTGGTAGATCTTTGTTTAAAAAGTAAATTGGTCATATTAACTCAAATAATAAGTATAAAATTTGACTTGGTCACTTTTCGCAGTAAGCCCACGATATATTCTGATAAAATAAATCACTTATCAAGAACAATAAAACTTATAAACGACTAAAACCCACACTTTAGTTTATATAAATATGTATTCTTAATATATTTTTTCAATTATAGAAGAAAGTAAGATGAAATCAGTTTCGTTATACACGTGAATAAATGTTAGTCATCTGTAATGTAATGCAGGGTGAGTCTTAATTATTGGAACAGAATAAGCGCAAGTTATTTAAACCAAAATATAAAGATTGTTCAAACACGTCTTACTAAAATGTTGCTGTGGAAAAAGATACAGGGTGTTAAAGTTAAAATATTTTTTTCTTGTTTTTGGCAATAATTTCACAATAATATATTCATAAATCATTATCAAAGAGGCATAACTTTAGATAACGAATTTTTATTATTTTACAGTTTGTTACAAGGGGCGCTGCACGCGATCCCAGATAATGAACTTAGGTCATAACTTTTTTGCCAAAACTTTTTAGTAATTTTGATTATGATGTAAACATAATTTTTGTGTAAAATTATTATACCTATTTAAACCTAAGAATTTCAATAGTTTAAAAAGACAATTGAACATTTCAGAGTCTCCGAAAGGGATTTCGTATATTTCATATGAAGTCCTTAGTTTTTACCAATGAAATGAACTCTGGGAAAAATTTAAAATACTATTAATATTTTTCTTCTATACCAGAAAGTATTTTATCAGAACAAATTGGAAAAGGCGTAGAGGTAGGAGGATATTTACTTTGAGTTTGTTATGGTTATTAATTTTTTTTTATTATTAGGAGTTACAAGTATATCTAAATTTTTTTTATTTGAAAATACTTTCAGTGACAATTGTGTTTTTATCGAAAACGATTGAAATTATTAAGTTTAATCAAGTATAACAATTTTACATAAAAATAATGTTCAAAATTACTAAAAGATTTCGTCGAAAAGAGGTATTACTCTGTATCAAAATGTAAAATAATAAATAAAATAATATTTCTTACCTAAACTTATGCCTCGGTGTTAATTTTGCTAGCAATTTTTAAATATGTAAAATTATTAACAAAAAATATTTCAACTTTAATACCCTGTAACTTTTACCACAGAAACATTTTATTGAGGTATGTCTCAGTAGTTATGACTCACCCTGTATAAATAAGTTGTTATTGCTATTTTAACACATATTTTTAACTGCATAATATCTGGTATAATTTATGACCTACACTTTTTTAATACACCGAAGGTGTTGATGTAGTAAGATGGGTAGCTTTTTAAAATATGTATCATGCTCTCGGAAAACCAACCTTTTATTAACCTTATTTTTAAAAAACGTGATAGTTACATTCCAAATGTAGATTTTTTACCCCATTAAAAAAAAGAGACAAAAAGACCAAAAATAATATTTAAGATGTTTTCAGTATTTCCACAGATAATGTAATCTCACTAGTATATTTTGTGATTATTGTAATATACCTACTATATATGTATACAGGATTTTACATTATAGAGTGACTATTTCTTTTGTATCTGTGATACTACACTTTTAATTATGTAGGTACTGCATACTTTAAGCGATCTGTATTCTTGGATCTTCATTGTGCAAAACTGTTTATTGTTTAAACGCTGTACCTAATGATCTAGTAAAATCAAGATGTTTGTTTAGGCAGTGCGCATTTGAGATTTTATTATGTTAATTTCTAAATAAAGTATATTTTAATTTAAATATATAATATGTTTCATTTTAATTAATAATCAAGGGCAGTGGCTTAGCCAGCCATTTTTCATGGGAGGGGTATTTGAGAACTATAGGGGGGGTTCTATCAAGAAAGTGTGTAAAAATAAACAGTCAATAGCGATCAGCGCCAATACTATAGGGGAAATGGTGACGCGAGGACCCTCCATGGGGAGTTCTGACCCTCAGAACCCCCTCGTGGCTACGCCACTGATCAAGGGTTATATATCAAGTGCAGCTAAGAATGTTAGTATAAACTACACATTTATTTATAAACAAGGATTTCTCTTTTAAAAGCACAAAATAAAAATCAATGTTTTATAATAATAATATTAATAATTATCTCCATAATTCACCACTTCACGTGTTAATTTTAACCCCTAAAGCCGACTGAGCTTGTGTGTGGGAAGGGACCGAGGAAGGGACGCCTATTATTATTATTTTTTGCCGTGGCTCTCTGGAGCGACTTAAAGATGATTGAAGGTGCCATTCGGCGTATAGGTGAGGAAAACCCTGAAAACCCCACCCACTATAACCTAGGTATCTTTTGACAGCTTTGTTTTCCAACAATAAGTTCTTTATAAATAATTACTCTGTACAATAATTCATCTAAAAGTCTAAAAAAATGAACTAAAAAATCCAAAAATGTCAAAACATTCCCAAAAACCACTAAATAAACCAAACCAAATATGTACAATAAAAAAAAAAACGTTGTGCAACAACAGTAAACAATAATTCGATTGTTTGGATTGCCTAATGAAAATGATCAAAACTAACCTTAAATACTTGAATTTTCCTTGGTGTAATGTTCTACATTTTCTTTGCAAGATTCATTGTCTTTCCTAACAACTCGTATTTACTTTTTTCCTGACAAAACAAGATGAATTTGTTTCAATTTTATTTGAAAGTTTTGATTGTATTAATTGGAATGTTCTTTAATATTTCGTTATCTACTTACTCACCCTATATATTCATCGAATTATCTCTAGACCAAAGTTATTCACCCATTTTTATTGTTTACATTCTTAAAGCGTGTTAATTGAAAGTGTCAAATTAACAATTAGGCATTCCAACGACCTGTCAAACAATAGGTGCCAGTGGGAAATTCTTGTATATTTAAGGGGGTAGCGACATAGTCTTGCAACTTGGACGCTATTTTTTTCGAAGTAGTACTCGTCAAGCCTGCCAATTTATGAAGAAATGTATAGGTGGGTTTTTTAAATATTATTTTTATTGTGTTTGACATAAAATATTTAAATGTAATCCATTATTCATGATTTTACGTAAAGTAGATAGAATACACCATATGTCGCCACCCTTAGATATACCAAACCTGCCCACTGGTAATTCATTTGTTTGGAATGCCTAATTAGGCATTCCAACGACCTGTCAAACAATAGGTGCCAGTGGGAAATTCTTGTATATTTAGGGGGGGTAGCGACATAGTCTTGCAACTTGGACGCTATTTTTATTCGAAGTAGTACTCGCCAAGCCTGCCAATTTATGAAGAAATGTATAGGTGGGTTTTTAAATATTATTTTTTTTGCTTTTGACATAAAATATTTAAATGTAATCCATTATTCATGATTTTACGTAAAGTAGATAGAATACACCATATGTCGCCACCCTTAGATATACCAAACCTGCCCACTGGTAATTCATTTGTTTGGAATGCCTAATATTAAAGTTGACAGCTGTAAAACCCTCACATTTGTTGGAAAGCATCGGCCTCCTTATTCAAAAATATTTCTATGCAAGACTATGTCGCTACCCCCTTAAATATACAAGAATTTCCCACTGACACCTATTGTTTGACAGGTCGTTGGAATGCCTAATTATAAAAGGAGAAAACGTCAAAACTAAATCATTCAAAAATCATTTTAAAAGTCCATTTTACATACATTTGAATGTGTGCGCTTATTTTATACTATCTACATTATCATATTAAATTATATTACTAGGTCCCCATCATACAGTGTGAGTTAAAAAGTAAGGGATGCATTCGATATTGAAAAAATTCCAAAGACAGGTCAATCTTGTTTTTAAATTCCAGACTTTTTGAAATAATATTAAGATATACAGGAGGTGATGCGTGTAAATAATAATAAAAATGCACTTTCTCATATTCATAATTATTTTTATTTGAGGTAACAAACTTATTTTACATTTAAAAAAAAAATAACGATAGCATTACTAAAATTACAAACATCACTCTTTGTATCCGAATATTATGCTGAAAAAGGTGCGCTCCAGACTTTTTCTCAAAGATTCTAGACGTATTTCGAGTAATACACCTCCACCATTTTCTAGACTGGTTAATTCACTAGAATTGGTAATTTCGTTATAATTCGTCGAAGGGTCCAGTATATTCCAGAATTGACTCACTACGACTGGCGGTATCCATGGGCCGGTCTTAAAGGACTTCAGAGGTTGACTTATTTAATAGAATATTCTTTATAACGGGAGAAATGGAAGTTATAAAAAGCCCTAATACGGCAGAGAGAGACTTAAGGAATAAGAGCATGACCAAACTGATCGAAAATGGCTCGCATGACACTTGTATGCTGTTAAGTTAGAATTAAATGTAATTGTTATAAGACGGTAAATTGAAGAACTTTTGCTTTTGAATACAAATTGTATTTGGCTTGGGTATTGTAATTATTATTCACTTTTACAACTTTTTAAGGAAAATACTAGTTTTGTATATTTTTAAAATATAGACGCAGTCATAACCAGGAGAAGAATTTTAACCAGAATGCAGAACTTCATAAGTAGTCTTCTTCCTCAATGCTAATTATTTCTTTTGAAGCTACGGTAGTTTCGAAGGTTTTTAATTATTTCATAAATATCGAAACTAACATTATTTGTTTTTTGATAAGTGCTTTTGAAGTTTTTTTCAAAGGCCTCCACAATTTCTGTATTTGTAGTGTAAGATCGATCGTTTTCTTCAATAATCAGTGTTGATTGATTGTATTTTGATATCTTTTTGATTTCAGACCAATAATTGTTAGACTATTCATTTTTTTTCCAAGATTCTGTCCTCAATTACGTCTTGTATTGAAGCACACGTTTTTGTATTTGTTTATTTAATTCGTTAAATCCCCTCTTTAACTCTGGCGACTCTTGGGCTTTGATTTGACGATACATTTGTCTTTTAAATTTTATTAGCTTCAGAATGTATGGTGGAAGTTCAATAAAATTGGAAGTTCAACAAAACAGAGCTGTTTCTGGAATTTTTCCAAAAATCAATACTTTCCCTTCTATGGAATTTATTTCTTACTTGCGGGATCACGTGGTACAAAGTTAATGTTTATGATTGGATATATTTTGTATGAAATAAATAATCAATATGTTTTCCTTAAAAATGCATTAAGATCATTATTAATGATTTGGGAAAGGAAGATAACAGAATTAAGAATTAAAAACGCCCTATAATTTAACTTACAATTTATTTAAACAAAATCTGTTGATTTATATTTAAGTTAAAACGAGACACAGTAAGTAACTACTATATACATAAATATTATACAAATAGATTATATCACACTACAAGTAAGGAAGTTCCGACACAGCTCCAGTTTTGATGCTTCTATGCCATCCTGAATTTATGATGTATACTCATTATTCATTATCCCTTTTCAAGGATGATGGACAATAAATAACAATAAAAATCCTTTAACCTAATGAACCTGGAAAGAAACTATTCTAGGGGAATTTAAACGCAAAATGGACCATTTTAACGTGCAAATCTCCATAAGGTCCAAAATAGCAATTTTTATCCATATCAAGGTCACGCGTCTGCTCTCGGCTTATCGGCTGATAACGACGTTGTAATCAACCTACGTGGGAAAGGCATTAGTACCCAAGTAATACGTGGAACGGCTTAACTATTTAAAGGTGGTTTATAATTTTTAATATGGGCTACCTTTAAATATTTAAGCCGTTTCATTTTTCGTCAGAACTTCCTTAGAATAATTACCCACGAACGAAAATGCATTAAAAAAAATAAAAAAGACGAGAAAGAAGCTAAAATAATTGGCATAGAAACATAAATATCTTAAAGACCATCAAGTATACTCTTCCAAAGAAACAATTAATAGAAATACCTACATCAACGTTGAGTATTTGGTTCGTATGGAGCTTCTTCCACAGATATCTTCCAAAGGAACTTATCAACAGAAATCACTAAGGAAGAATCTACGATTAATGGGGTAGCTGTGACAAACCTCCCAATTATATTACTAAAAAGTTCCTTAATTAACATCATTGTAATTATCTACTATCACTAAAATCTTTCTGATTTTTGATTTGTACAATTTTTTTCATCACTACCATCGCTACATTCTATAAAACCGTTACATAGTCGGCTTTCAGGCAGACATTCTCCAAGGGGACATCTGTGACCCGTGCAGGAATTCTTCGAGATCTCGTTTTGGGCGTTCAACTGATCATTATTGATGATAAATTTTATCCATTCCACATAATTAGCCACTTTTGTGTAGACGCCGGGTCTGTTTGCTCTTGCGCAACCATATCCATTACTCGTTATGCCTAGAAATAGATAATATAATGGAGAGTCTTACGTATTTGAAATTTTAAGAAAGTACCTTGAAGAGTCCATCTGCCATTTGATTCAGGGCACATAAGTGGACCACCTGAGTCTCCTAGACAAGCATCTCTTCCACCACGTTCGTAACCAGCGCAAAACATGTCTTCAGTTATGTGATACAGTGATAAAAACAAAGTTCTTTTCCTGCATTCTGATGTGGTTATAATAGGCACCTGTACTTCTTGCAATGTATCGGCTAGAATGCAATAAGTATTTTTTAATAAATAGTTACATCTAATAGTAGTTACTGCTTAACAGTAATACTTACGAAATATTCTCCCAACTTCAAACAACTGGCCCCAGCCAATTACAGTGCACAGTCTCCCATCTGCAGGAACCTGATTTGGTTGAGGTAAACATACAGGCCTTACGTAATCACTGAATATTACAGGAGCTTTCAGTTTTAACAAAGAAATATCGTTGATAAATCCTGAATCTACATATCCTGGATGGACTATAATTTTAACAACTGGCTGTAGCTGTTCATAGGGTGATGGCAGGGATGTTCCACGTCGTAGAGCTCCTAATCTTGCTATCCAATATTCATCTTGAGCACTGAAAGACAAAAACACAGTGGAATAGTTGAATAAAATTGGATTGAATTAACACTTACTGGTAAAAACAATGACCAGCTGACACCAGCCATCTGTCTGATAAGAGGGTTGCACCACATTGAAATTCCCCTTCTTTGTACAAAGCTGCTTGCCAAGGCCAAGCTCCTAAGCCAGCATTGCCACCTCCCACCACTCTGTAAATAAGAATCGGCTATCAATTATATATTTCGTTATAAATGTTAACATCTTCGTTAGAAGATTTAACTGCAGTTTAACAATTAAGATTTGATTATTTTGGTTACCTGGCGATATGTTTAACAACTTGAGGACGTGCACCACATTCTAGTGACTGACATTCGACCATGACGATTTTCTTATCAGTGCAGTTTGAGTTTTTAAAAGATAAGCTTGATTTAGTTTCGTTTTGAAATGAAAAAGTCAGTTCGAAGTATCCAGAATTGTTATTTTTGCTTTCAGTTACAGTTCGTATTGAAGACATACTTCTAAAAATAAAGTTATTATCTGTTTGCCAACATGAAAAATGGCTTAGCGAAAATTTATGGAATTTTAAACTTACTGATATGTCATAGATTTGCAGACAGCTTTTCCCAAGTCTGGAATTTGCCAGGCGATATGGGTTAAATTGACGACTGATTCAAAATTGTCAATGCAAAGTTTACCCCATTTGCCGTATTTCCTCACCATGAGAAATCCTACAAAAAAAACCACATATACATTTTTTATAAGTTTCAAAATTTTTAAACATTAATTACCTTCTGCAAAATAAGGGAATTTATCAGCTGATTCAATATTGGAGGAAATAGTAACGCATTGTCTTTCATCGTCCCCTTGTGGGCAGTCTTTAAATCCATCACATATTTTGTGTTTGTCAATACAGACTTTCGAATTGCTGCATACATATTGTTCAGGCTGGCACCAATCTACAAAATAACAAATTATTAGCGGTAGCTTGTTTCTGATATTAAATTATTTGGAAAGAGATAGAGTTTCAAAGTTTAGCTACTTTAGATATGAAGGAGTTATCGTATCTGTCCAGACATATTGCGAAAAAAAGATGGGAATGTACCTCGAACACTCTGCGATGGATGTATACAACAATAGTGAGACCAATAATTTCTTACTACCGCATGGTGGTGTCACGAGTTGGATCACCTCAGGAAGATGGCTAGGAAATACTTTAATAAGGCAAGAACCACAAAACTCAAAGAGGACTGGGATACTTACAAATCTCACCTCAGATAATACAAAAAAATCGTCAGACAAAAACAGAAAGATGCATGGAGATCCTACTGCGAAGAAATCGAAGATTTCCCGCAGGCAGTGAACCTTCAAAAAGCTCTCTCATAAGATCCACACCGAAGCATTGGTGCGTTAATCAAAGAGGATGGCACGAAAACTGCCAACCTCGAAGATAGCATCAAACTTCTGCTGTCAACACACTTCTCTGACTCGGTCATCACAGACGTGGTCGACTGGGCAGAGGAAGAATATAATCCATCTGTCTATGATTGGCAAACTGCCAAACACATTTTAGACGATGAAAAAATTAGATGGGCAATATCCAGCTTCTCTCCATTGAAATCGCCAGGACCTGACGGTATCTATCTGTTGGCTCTGAGGTATATCCCCAAAAAATGGAGAGATGTAAAAGTGGTATTTATACCCAAACCTGGAAGAATGGATTACACTGTCCCAAAAACATACATGACATTAGTCTGACATCGTTTTCCAGAAAGACATTGAAAAGGCTATGCGAAAGGTACATAAGGGATGCGGTGATTACAACAACACCACTACACCCAAACCAACATGCATACATCCCAGGCAGAGCTACTGATTCAGCCCTTCATCTAGTTGCTGGACGGATAGAAAGATACCTGGACAATAAGGAGTCCCCCTTGGGTGTTTTCATCGACATAGAAGGTGTTTTTGATAAAACCACCTTCCCAAAGATAATACACTCACTAACCAACAGAAATGTCCCACAAATGGTTAGTGGGTGGATACATAACGTGCTCTCAAAGCGAGCAGTAAACATTAGTGTAGAAGATGTGAATATAAGAAGATTGGTTGCGAGGGGATGTCCAAAAGGAGGGGTGCTATCACCTCTACTGTGGAATATGGTCCTTGACACCCTCATCAGCCGCCTCAATAATGACAGTCACTACACAACAGCATATGCAGATGACCTGGTCATTCTGCAAACAGGGAATTTTGAGAACATACTCTGCGAAAGAATGCAAGTAGTTCTAAAAATTATAGAACAGTGGTGCAAGGATCATTCACTGTCTATCAATCCTAAGAAGAGAGAAATGGTTCTTTTCACAAGTAAAAGGATGAAAATGGAATTGAAACCTCTAGAACTCCCAAACACAAAATTAAACTTTGCAACAGAGGTGAAGTACCTAGGTCTCACCTTTGACAGCAAGTTAACATGGAACTCGCACTTAGAAAACAGAGTTAAAAGAGCATACATTGCTTATGAACAATGCTGCCGATCCGTGGGGCGCACCTGGGGTTTCTCCCCCAAAGTCGTCGCATGGACTTACACGGCTATCATAAGACCTATGCTAACATATGGTGCAGTTGTTTGGATACCTAAAACCTAAAAATTAACAGCTATCCGTAAACTAGAACAAATTCAAAGAACAGCATGTCTCAACATAACAGGAGCCAGGAAACAACACCGACCAGAGACATGGAAGTCATTCTTAGTCTCACTCCCCTTGATATTTACATCAAGGACGTTGATCTGACGACAATGACACGCCTCCACATGGTTGGAATAGAACCTGATGTAGGATTTGCTGAGCCAAGACGTCGCTTTTGGCAGGAGGCGCTCGACACGCTCCCACTACTTCAGCGAACATGGACTCCATCTCACCGAGATATATCTTCCATAAGCCATATGAAGTTATAACAGAACAAATAGAAGAGCCGGAAGTGGCAGGTACGATTCATATCTACACCGACGGTTCTAAAAGAAAACAAGGCTCAGGATGTGGAATGTACTCCAGATTCTTAAACCTAAACATAAAATGAGCTGTGAGCAATAGTGCCAGTGTAGTTCAAACAGAGCTAACGGGGATTCCCATAGCAGCAAAAGAAATAACCAGAAACAATATCACTGGAAGGAATGTGCTAATCTATACAGATAGCACATAAGCACTACTCACCCTGAACAGACCACGAATTTACTCAGGATTAGTACTAAAATGTCACGAAGCTTTGGCCAAAGTATCCATCAACAAAGTGGTCACCTTAAGATGGATCACAGGTCACGCCACATTGAAAGGAAACCATCTTGCTGATTCACTAGCCAAGAAACCAGTCAACCAAATACTTTTTAGACCTGACCCTTCTATTGGCCTGACAAAATGAGTAGTGATAGACCTAATTAAAGAACATTCCCTTGTGAAATTCAAGGAAAAATGGGAAGAAACAAGAAACGGCAGAGTTGCCAGGGAGCTCTTCAGTTATCCTGACAACACTGCAGCAAACAAATACTTGACTATGACTAGACAGAATCTGCACCTAGTCACAGACATTCTGACTGGTCATTGCCAAGTACGGAAGCATTTCCATATCATGGGGCTGTTAGAATCCGAACTCTGCAGAGGGTGCAAACAAGAAGATGAGACCATCGAGCATATCCTTTACGATTTTTTGACGCTCTCATTTATTAGAAAATTTGTGTTCGGCGAGTATCGGCTAACACCGGCCGATATAAGAGAAGCACCTCTTGGCGACGTTGTCAACTACATTAAATCTGTAGGCTGGCTCACGAGCTAGAAGGTGCCTATCATCTTAGGAGGATGCACAATGGGCTTAATGAGGCCTAAGTGCCGTGAGGGTAACCCACCCTCCACACGTTACAGATACGGGGCTGCATCTTGGAGAACTAGTTTAGTACAAACACTAGCCAATATTTGCATCACCTGTTCTACGGCCGCAATGATCTTAAACATCATCCCTCTACATTTAACAGTAGAGAACGTACCAAAAAGTCAAGATATGGAATGATCAGAAATTGAGTAATCAGACGGAAGTCTATTAACTTCAGGATCGAAGATACTTGGGATATAGATAGATATACCCCAGAACGAAATAAGAAAGAAGTACAGTTTTGTGAAAGACTATAAAATCACAGAGGTGCAAGAATGAGTTGAACCAAGATTCAATCGTGTTTGCAACTGACAGGCGTGCATTTCAGTGGTATACGGATCGTACCAAAACCACAGAGGGTATGGGCCTAGAGCCAGGTACTATGACAGTTTGGGTAAATACCCAAGCATCTTACAAACGAAAATTCACGCCATTGAGAAGTTTATCCAGTTCAACACCAAGAAAACTATTACTGACAAGAGATTATCATCATGTTCTGTGTGGCCAAGCAGAGATCAAAGTGCTGAACTCTTACGTAATCAGCTCAAAAGTGGATATAACGGGGCAAAGGGTAACGAGATTGCAGATAGTATCGCAAAAAAAGAAGCTCAAACACCCTTTGTGAGATCTGATACTTTCTTCGGTATCAGCAGTAACACAATTTTAGGAGGGATTCAAAAAGAATTGGACAGTAGAAGAACCGATCATTGGAACCATCTTTTGGAGCTAAAATAGTCTAAGAAAATTTTGGGTGACTTTAAAAAAAGATCGAAAACTTGTTTCTGCCTACACATTGTAACAGATATTCTTTCGGGCATTGCTGACTCAAAGGATACCTTGTGAACTGAGACTAGTAGAAGTGAGTGCAGATTCTGTGAGGAGGAGGACGAAATCATTCACATTCAGACTAGGCACTATACTAAGGAGTATATCAAATAGAAGAGAGGGATCTACCTAACTTGGAGACACTTTAAATCGTACATCTCCTTGAGATGATAGGATTGAAAGGATTATATAGACATCGAGATTATTCGCTTGCTACATAAGCATCAGCTAGATCTTTTAGTTCGCAGTGTATTAATACTCCATACATAACACATCAATATCTATCGGTAGATATCTACTTACCACAACGATTTTCATCTGAATAATCCCAACAATCCACTACACCATCGCATATTTTTCCTAACAGATACTGTGATTTTAAATAATCAGCACAATTGCAGTTTTCTTCATCTGTGCCGTCACTGCAATCTATAAGTTGATTGCATTTAGTCGTCTCCGGCAAGCAAGAACCATCTCCGCAAATCACTGACGTATTCGTGCAATCTAAACACAAAAAGCTAATAATTATAAACTATTTCGTTTGTATCGTTAAATCCAATTACCTGAGATATTTCCTTTTAAAGGTGCATCATTAGCGAGGATATTCATTTTATTATGAGGTTTTGTTAATATCGGTAAACCGTTAAGATTTGTATAACTTGATGAAATGGCTTTATTCGATATTACGGGTTCTACATCAAACGACGTTGAATTATCAGTGATTTTACTTATTTCTGCTAATTGTTTAATTTCGTCTGCTGTCAGTATATTCGAATTGTCCCTCTCAACCGAATCAGAAGAATTGCTCAAATACATAACCAAATCACTAGCATTGGATGGTTCTTCTAAAGATAATTCAAAATCCATTTTGGGATATCTAAGTAGATCAGAATAGCTATTATCAACAGATTCCTCTGTTGCGAAATTTAATATCCCCATAATTTTAAAATCTTCGTTGATATTTTTAGTTTCTTTTTTAGCTGTATTAGTTGGAAAACTTCTATTTTCAACAGACATATTTGCTTCATCTGAATTAAACGGTCTTTTCCTTATAGGTCTGCCAATACCAGAATTTGACTTTACTGGAAGTAATGTAACTAAAGAATGCTTTGTAGTGTGCTGTACTAGATCATCTACATCTTCTACTACGACTTCTACTTGACCTTGACCCGAAACAATTTCGTCTTCCTTTGGCTTACTACTACTAGACTCTACTAGAGTGATGTTTAAATTTGAAGTATCCAAAGAGGAAGCTAATGTATGAAAAATTGATGAAATGTTCCTTAGCAATTGTTCCCTCTTTTCCGGTGATTCTTCTTCCTTTTTAGTGGGCACATATTTAAAAGTTTCAATCTCAACAAACTCTAACGAATCAGCTTTTGATGTTGTCACAGGTTCGGTTATGTCGTCCTTGCTCACTTTATTTATTTCTGTAGTCGAGGGTACTTTATTTACCTGAACTGGGTACTCTAATAATTCACTGAGTTTTATTTCTTTAAAGGCTTGTGTGGTGGTTTCAGTTAAAGGTACTATATTACCAGGAGTTGAATAATCTTTAATTGAATCAGTTACTGATTCAGTAAAAAATATTTTGTTTACTGGAATGGGATGGCTTTTGAGACTTGTAGAACCCAATCTTTCTGCGTCATTGAAATTTAAAGATAAACCTGGATTAGTGAAGCTGGTATATACAGGATGTTCGGCTGTTATAGTCGGTACAGTTGGATTTAAATAATATGGATTATTCAATGCTGTTTTATAAGGAGGTTGATCACCAATGGGCGACATGTTTGGAAGTATAGGAATCCAAGGTGCTTCATCGAAAGGATTGAGTAAGAAAACTGTTTTGGTAGATTGTTCAGTAGCAGCGGTACTAGGTTTAACGGTAGTAGTTGAAGTAGTCGATGATTTAGGAGTAGTATTATCAAATTCTTCATTTATAGAGTTAGTTTTTTTGGTAACTTTTTCTACAGCGGCTATTTTATACAATGCACTTGTTACAGAAGATTCTTTGAACGTAGTTTTTTTAATAGAAGGTTGTGTAGGTTTTGGCTTGATAGTGGATAGTTCAGTCTTTTTCTCTGTAATATCAGCGTCTGTTTTACTTATTTTAAATGATCCTTGGACAACTGGTAAATCTTCATCTTTAATTTGCTCTAGTTCTTCGGTTGCAGCTGGTTTTTTAGCAGGAATAGTAAGTGCTGGTGATGTTTTGTTAAATGATTTCAAAATGCCGTTATTTTTTGACGAAATTGCGATAGTTGAATGATCAGATGGTATGATCAGAGATGAGCTGGGGTTTATATGTTGAACAACATCGTTACTTAATACTTGTCTTACTGTAATATGCCTGGCATCGAATCGAATGTTTTTGAATACAGGATGCCTAGAGATTGCGTCTGTTATTAAGATATCTTTGATAGCTTTCTCTATGTTCGATACGTTCCTAAAAGTGTTAATTGATAAAAACACATTACAATAAATGTATGAGAATAACTGGACTTACTTGGATAATTTCATACGATTGAAAGCAAGCTTAAAATAAATAGTCACAGTATCGTTTCCGAATTTATCGATAATGCAAGATATAAAAGCTTGACCTAAAATGCTCCTTTGGTACATGGCTTCGAAGTTTCGTTTATATCTACGAGCTTTTTCTTGTAGAGCTCCTATGAATCTGTCTCCTTTAAGAATCTTCGCACTACAGCTAAATGTAAGGAGTGCTAAAAATTAAAATAATTATTTTCGACCATTCTACTATGTTTTTTCTACATGATTTTAAAATTTTTTATTACTCACCATTTGGGGTTTCGGTATGCAAGACACCCATGTACAGCGCTAACCCAGCGATTGCTAGCACTGCTACTAAAACTACGAACGATGCTACAGCTAAAGCTATGGAACACAATTTGCCTTTTGAAGATTTGTACTCCACTCCTACGCAAGAAACTGGTGTGGGTGGTGGTCTTTCTTGCCATGGGTACGTAAGTGTGAGTGATGAGGTTGATCTACGTCCTGTGCAACTAGGCACTGCATATTCACTCTAAAACAATAGACGTAATAAATATAACATGAAGAAGTGCTTTGTAAGAAAAAAAATATTTATCATTAGCTATATAGCCAAAAGATTCTGCCAGTGATTTTAATGCTATTGTTTGTTTGCTTACATAACTACCATATCTATTTAATTTAATAGCAACAGAGCTTCTATCCTTGTTTCTTTTTTGCTCATCGAAAATGATATTTTAAGAATCGGAACAGACGGTGTAAGACTAAAATAATCTGACAAAATATACTCATAATTCTATTAGAATACATTATCATACAGGAAGTAATAAAAAAATTAACGACAAAGGTATAGGTGTTTGAACTTTAAATACAAGGGCTAATCAAAAAGTTGTTACTAGTATTGTGCACTATAGGGACCGTATGACCTTTGTTTTATATTATTTATGATTTTTCTCTACTAAGAATATACAGGGTGACCAACAAGGTGGTCAACACTTTAGACAACACTCGAATCAATCTTTCCATCATACCGTGAACTGTCATATGTCATTCCCCTTCACTTCCTCACTCTAACCAATACAATTTAAATAAGGAAAGCACCCAGTATGACACATCTTTGAAAAACAATATGATTATGATTTTAGCTTCCTTTAGTGGGATATAAACTATTACGTATTGTTAAGTGTGACACTTCATTTGAAAACTAATTTTATTAATAATTTATTAACAAAATATAATTGATAATATTACAGAGCTTTAATTTTAATTGCAATCAACCAAAATAACAAAATTATGCAACGCTTTAAATTAATAATAAAATTAATATTTTCCAGACATCCATTTTTGATTTTTTTCTTGTAATTCGAGGTAGGTATTTTTTCTAGTTTAATGGTTCAAATGGTCAAATTACTTAAATCTTTATAATAATTTGAATGAAGCCAGAACGTTTGAATCGTAGAAGGGCCATGTCGGATTATTTTAAAGTTTGGGATCATCCATGGTGCATTTTATGTTATCTTTATAGTTTTTTCGGAGCAAAAAGAACTATAAGTGATCTGTTAAATAAGATACTTTCGAATTAATACCATTCAATTGAAAAATTGGGTATATCAAAGTTGGCAATTTATAAAAATAGGAAATATCTCGTAATGAGAATAATTTAGCTTCTTCCATAAGTTTTTTAATAATAATATCGGAGGGATAGGAGTTAAAATATTGTCATATTTTTGAAAGTTTGAACATATAATCAAGTCAAGTGTGCAGTAGTACTTATGTATTGGCTGATCTTCCACTTGTTTAAGTTCAAACGAGTCCAGTATAAAGTATAAACGAGCTTTAATAAGAATCGTTTATAGTGAAGTATAATTTATTTTTCTAAGTGATTAATTATTGTTAAGGAAAATCCTGAAACTGTATGGATATTTCTGAATTTAGAGCTGTAGAATTTGTACGAAAAATTGTTGATTTTCTATTCCATCATTCAAAGTTGGTATTTCTGAATTATAAGATAGGAAGAACTCCTCTTTGATTATTCTACTGTTTCAGTCTAAGCGGTTGAGTCTTGTTTGGATTCTTTTGAGGTAAGAACAAATGCATATAGAATATTTGGTCGCAATACAAGTTATCGATGATTTAGAACATGACGTTTATTTGACAACGTTCTACATTTTTCTGAATATATCACCATACAGGACGCTGTATTAAATTAAAATTTCGTTTAAATTTTAATTTTTATAGTAGAGAACAACATAGGGAAGGATCTATTGTGGAATGTTATGTTTTGAATGCTAATTGATGGTTTTTTATTAAATTGTTTCTCTCTATAATCACTTTGAGTCTCTTAAATAGCAGCTTCTCAATAGAGAAATATGATTTAGGTTCACTAAGTGGTTTACCTAGATTTAAGGATCATAAGGACTTCCGCAGTCTTTCATACACTTGGTATATTCTTCAGTCTAATAGATGCATTCATCAAATTTATAAGTTTGACATTGCCTTTTCTTGGAAGTTTTTTTAATACTTCTGTAATGATATCGTATCCAGGAGCTTTTTTTGGGGTGATGTTTGATTTTGTATCCCTAGTAACTTCTTTTAGGAACTTTGTATGTTAGGGAAATATCTTCAGTAATGTCCTCGTAGCTATTTGAGTATAACGTAAGTTCCCATGTATTTTTATTACAAACTGTATTGTCTACAATTATAAACAAATTGACTGTTTAAAGTCTCGGCTATTTGAAATCTCGTTTCAGCTGTGGGAACCAGTTTAGAATCTGCATATTCATTTTTTATCGAGATGAAGAGATTAAAGTAAAGTTTACAAGAAAACGGTTATTAAGTGAACCAACTACCTTCGAGATACAAATTTTATTAGGCTCATCCGAGCTATCACACTTTGCACCATAATTATATAAACTCAAAATTTCATCTACGCGGTTAATGATTTCATAAAAACATCCAACGTTTGGTGAAAATGTATGCTAGCCGCGAGGGTGGCTGTAATGCTGGAATTCCAAAACATAATATGCATGCAGAGTTTTTATATTTTATACAGGAAATTATTTTAATAACAATTTGAAATTTTACTAAAATTTTAAAATTTAATTATATTATCTATGACTGATTCTTCACCTTTTTTATGTAGATGAATTACTTTTACATATATTTAATTTTATCTGGGAAACTACCAGTGAGAAAAAGTTATTGATTGAATTTATCAGTGGGTTTAGTATGATTTTAATCGTTTTTTCTATAAGCTGCAATAATCTCATGCATTTTTAAGATTTTTGACGACATCAAGATCCTCTTCTTTTCCCTAATAACACGGATCTGCCAGAAACATACCATTTATGTTTCTAAAGAAACGTTTCTGGAATGATTTCTCAAGGACGGTTTAGAAACATCGTAATTATGTATAGGTATTTAAATATAAGTTTGAAATATCAATAAATTATAAAATTACTGCAGCAGAAATCTACAGTCATATCAAACTCCAATATTAAATTTGAACAATAATATTTTTATTTCACAAGACAACTGCTGCAGGTCAAATTTATCTTTATTAGTTCCTTCAAAAAAGAGTAAATACGACAAAGATGAATGCTCTTCTTGTGCATCCTTCCTTCTGGCTCACCAGGCGAGTTCGGCTCATCCTCCGCCAGCTAAAAAAGACACTATTGACAGAAGTCCTCACGATATAATCTATTTCGTTGCATTAAAAGTGTAGCACTGAGCTACACTACTACACTACAGAAGAATTAACAGCAACGCCGTTTAAAAACTCTCTAGAAGCCGAAATTCAAGAAAAAAAGAGAAATGCATCACTGAAAAAGGTAAGCAGGTTATTAGAAAATGCTTCTCGGCTTCTGGAAAAGGAAAAAGTCTGCAAAATAGCTACGGTTTACCAAAAAAGAGAAAGAAACTTCAAACACATATATTGTGTTGGAAAATTCCAAACCTGACGAAGGGTGGATTCAATGCCAGTTGTGCCGAAATCGGGCCCACCAAATGTGTGCAGGTGCATCAGAAGATGACGATCAGTTCCTATGCGCAAAGTGTGATTAAGATAAGAACCTAGCGTTTAATTTTGGCAAAAATGAGCTTTAATGTTTTATTTTAAATATAAACCATTATTGTGTTTTGTGGTTCGTTTTTCAATAAAACCTGTTTTTTATCATCATTAAATTCGGAATTAGTTTTTTTACATACAAGTAACACAGCGGTCCTTTGTGTCCCAAGATATGGGGCAGAGGGGACCGAATACTTACAGTCAAACTTTTCAAAATAGAATCAATACCAAGTAAGATTTTGTACAGGTATATGCATCAGCCGATACCGCATAGGTGTAGACCCAGTATCTTACATAGTGAAATTTTTATCAATAGTGATAAAGGAGTATGACGACTTTTGGCCTTAAGTGGTCCTCTGTGCCCCACTCTCCCCTATTCTCCGCCATGCATATTTGAAAATAAATTGTTAGTTATTTGGGGTTAGGCTTTGAATACAGTTTTTTTGTTTTGATTTTATTCCTACAAATTTTATCAAATGCCAACTTTAAATAAAGTGAAGATAGCTTGTTAAAGGGTTAAAGCAACTCTATTCCCCGGATTTGATCCTCCTTACGAAAAAATGAAATTGTTACTAATTTATTACATGGCAATAACCAATACTTATCTACTGTCAGATAAATTTACGCTCCAATGAATGAGTTCCATCCGAATTCATCAGTCAATCGAAAATCACGAATATAACTGTACATAGTAGATTGAAGGGGCACCATAATAAATTACATAACCACAGTCAGTTTGGTAATCGTCCATTGCCAATGTCAAGTCACCTGGGAACTCGAGGAATGAACTTTTTGAGATTTAAAAATGCAAGTCAAGGTTACAAGGTGGTAAAATTACTTTACGTTTATGTGTATACTCAATAAAGTTTTACTTAGAAGATATTATAGGAAATTAGTTTAGAAATAAGCAGAAAAACCATTTTACAATTTAAAATGTAAAACGTTCCACGCGAAAGCTTAAAAAATCAGGAAAACTATTAAGATATGTAGCTTCCGGAAAGTAAAAATTAATGATATAATGTGATTACTCATCTGAAATATATAAAATTCTTCAACTAGAAAATCAAAACATATGTAACCATTTATTATAAAAATAAATTAAAACTATATCTTAACTTGATTACGAACAATTAACAGCAAACATTGTGGTTAATTTAATTAGACATGATTGAGTTGATTTAAAAGTATCTACCTATCTATGAAAATAACCTTATGTACAAAGAGTTAGTTCCTATAAGAAATATTTTTACTCATACATACATACATAAATACATAAATGTGTTTAGTCTTAAAATATTTGTAGCTAAGAATTAGTTCTTTCTAAAATTTTAAAAATTCATACCTTTTGTGGAATAATTGGAGATATTCCTGTTACACCCTAAGACCATTTTTCTTACTACTACAGATACTAAACATATAAAAATTTAGATCTTCATCTTCACGTAATTGTATAATAATTATTGATCAAT